ATGGATAAAGAAGATATGGTACATATATATAATGGAATATTACTCGGCCATAAAAAAGAACAAAATAATGCCATTTGCAGCAACATGGATAGTCCTAGAGATTGTCATACTGAGTGAAGTAAGTCAGACAGAGAAAGACAAGTATCACATGATATCACTTATATGTGGAATCTAAAAAAATGGTACAATTGAACTTATTTACAAAACAGAAATAGAGTCACAGATATAGAAAACAAACTTATAGTTACCAGTGGGGGAAAAAGGGGGGAGAGATAAGTTGGGAGACTGGGATTGACATATATACACTACTATATATAAAATAGATAACTAATAAGGACCTACTATATAGCACAGGGAACTCTACTCATTACTCTGTAATGACCTATATGGGAAAAGAATCTAAAAAAGAGTGGAGATATATATGTATAACTGATTCACTTTGCTGTACACCTGAAAGTAACACAACATTGTAAATCAACTATACTCCAATAAAAATTTTTAAAAATAAATGAATAAAATAGATCACAACAGCAAAACAAAACTGTAATGAGGTACCACCTCATACCAGTCAGAATGGCCATCATTAAAAAGTCCACAAATAACAAATGCTGGAGAGAGTGTGGAAAAAAAAGAACCCTCCTACACTGTTGGTGGGAATGTAAATTAGTACAGCCACTATGGAGAACAGTATGGAGGTTCCTTAAAAAACTAAAAAGAGAGTTGCCGTATGATCCAGCAATCCCACTCCTGGGCATATATCCAAAGAAAACTATAATTTGAAAAGATACATGCACCCCAATGTTCATAGCAGCACTATTTACAATAGCCAAGACATGGAAGCAACCTAAGTGTCCATTGACAGATGAATAGATAAAGAAGATGTGGTATATATACACAAGGGACTACTACTCAGCCATAAAAAAGAACTAAATAATGCCATTTGCAGCAACATAGATGGACCTAGAGATTATCATACTAAGTGAAGTAAGTTAGAAAGATAAATACCATATGATATCACTTACATGTGGAGTCTAAAATATGACACAGATGAACTTATTTATGAAACATAAACAGACTCACAGACAAAGAAAACAAATTTCTGGTCACCAAGGGGGAAAGAGGGTGGGGGAGGGATAAATTAGGAGTTTGGGATTAGCAGATACAAACAACTATATATAACACAGATAAGTAACAAGCTCCTACTGTATAGCACAGAGAACTATATTCAGTATCCTGTAGTAAACCATAATGGAAAAGAATTTGAAAAAATATACATATATGACTGAATCACTGCTGTACAACACTGTAAATAACTAAAAAATTATAAATCAAATTTAAAACTTTTAATTTTTAAAAATTAAAAAATAAAAATATCAATGTCTGTATGAAATTACAAACAGCTTATTTCCATTGATGGCTACTGACTGAGGGTTATAAAGAGAAAATTTTACTACCCCAAATGGTTAAGAGTTCAAAGTAGTAAAAAAGAAAAAGTTTATTTGCAAGTCATTAGACCTTTCCTGGAAACATCAGTCTACTTTAGTTCCCTGAAATACACCCTACCAGACATCACCATGAGCCAGTAACCATGACAGTGTGTGGCAGCCTGGCTGTCAGGTGACATGTACATTTGTCCAGAGGGCCAGAAAACACCTGGTAGGGATAAACAGGCTATTGATTAGAGCAGAAAACTGAGAGCTATGAAACTGCCACAGAAAATGAAACGCCACTGCTAGGCTGCAGGAATCCCATCTTAGGCTGAGGACGTTTAATCATCTCTGCTCCTTTTTATTCCTTTTCTTAGAGGTGTTCATAGGGAAAAACATATACACACTCACACATCAGATTGAGGCAACTCTAAGGCAGACAGCTGTGTTCCACTGGACTTGTAAAAGGAACAAAAAAGAAAAGGAGGTGATGTATGTACCAGAAAGGGGGTGAAGGTTAGGAAGGGGAAGTATGTAAATGAAGACAGAACTAGTGAATATGGTGAATGGCAAAATGTGTTGCCAGCTGGAAAATGACTATGTTTTATTTATTTTTTATTTATTTTTTGCGGTACACGGGCCTCTCACTGTTGTGGCCTCTCCCGTCGCGGAGCACAGGCTCCAGACGCGCAGGCCCAGCGGCCACGGCTCACAGGCCCAGCCGCTCCGCAGCATGTGGGATCTTCTTGGACTGGGGCACGAACCCGCGTCCCCTGCATCGGCAGGCGGACCCTCAACCACTGCGCCACCAGGGAAGCCCGAAAATGACTATGTTTTAACACTACATGAGGTTTCAGAAACTAACAGCTTGATAGTATTCCTCTATTATTGAATTATGAACTGAGAATCTCAGGGGACCCAGAGCTAAAAAGCTGGGAATACTGTGGTATTCCATGCGGGTACCATGTGAGTTGGCCTATTCCAGAACAAACTGAAAATGGCTAATTTATGAGGCCTTTAAAGTAACGTATTAGAAGAATGACCATTGTATAAGAGGGTAAGGGGAAATTCTGTTTTAATAATTTGACAGTTAAAAATGAACATCTCACTTCCCCTATTTCAATCTTGGTTTCCTTTAGCTAAATGTTTCCTTTCTTTACCACTCCCTTTACAAACCAAATGGAAGGGCTGTTTAGAGCTAACTCCCTGGCCACAGCCCTGGCTGTTTAGACCTAATATAACGGGAGCTAAAAAAAAAAAAATCTTTCTCACTGGCACAAAGAATCTTCAAGGTACTTAGGAAATGCTCCCAGCAGTAAGCTGAGCATCCCTGATACACTAAATGGAGACAGGAGCCTGACTACAGTGACTGAGCAGGGCCTGAGGGCCCCAAAGGCTGCTAAGGCCCCTCTGACGCTCAGCATCAAGGGATTCTAAAGTTAGAAATGCTGTTTCCACATCAAAACCCGTGGAGAGTAAAGCAGATCCGGAGAAACACTAGCTAAGGAAGCCTCACAAACCACATGAAACAGAACAATGAGAGGCTGGAGAATTCCACAAGAAAAGAGAAGAATATTTTTCAAGAAAGAGAATATATATTTCAACTGTGCAGACAGAAAGTTAATTAGGGGTCTCAACTTCCCTCCCCGCCAAGTAGCCTCCTCAACTGTTAACTCAGTTTGAGTGCTTACTTACTACATATACCTGGAACAGCGATGGGAACTCTCACCAGTAAGATACGTGCTCAGGTATGCACTTGGGAAATGGCTCTCACTTTCTTTTCTGTGACTTTACTTTATCGCCTCAATTTATGCGACCAAAGTAAATGAGCATTAAAAATTAAAACCAATAAAGTGAAGGGACACAGAAAAATCAATCAGATAATGTGCCTGTCCTGCAGATGGCTTTGTTCACATTCCAAGACTCTTTACAAAAGGCAAGAACAGGAAAAATCACCACCCAACCAATAGCAGTCATTTCAGCTATTTAACAGTGTTTTTTAAGTTGCAGGTCACAATACATTAAGTCAGATCATCAATTTAGTGGGCTGCTACCATCATTTTTTTAAAAAAGAAGTCAAATAGAATAGAGAAGAAAATATCAGTGTGTTTTGCAAGAAGTAAAAGTATTGTCTTATGAAACTTTATTTCAAATGTATGCGTGTATATATGTACTGGGTCCTGATAATAAAATGTTATTTCTTAGAGTGAATTAAAATCTAAAAAAGTTTGAAAACCACCACGCTATTGGACACTGAAGGAACTAGACCAGAGCAGAATACTATAGAGATTGTGTATGGATCAAATACTTAGGAATTGTGAAGAAGTTGGCGGGTCAACTGAGCAGGCTCAGTCAATAAACAAAGATCACCGTCAGAGCTACTGTCAGAGTTATCCAAGAACTCTAACATCGTCCTGGAGCTAAGCAGTGCACGCTGCCAGTCTGAACACAGAGGAAAGCCACCACTGAAACTGAGCTGAGAGGAAATGCTGGCTGGTATACAGAGCCCCCTCTAGCGTTTATCAAGATAAAGGAAATCTGGACTCTGGAAGGAAATGAGATGGCAGTCTCTACTTCTAGAGGATCATAGGCCGAGGCCACAATCAAAGGACTCACTCACTGACTGAGATCAAGCCTTCTAGAACAGGGGTAGGTGAAGAGAAGAAGAAACCGTTCTCCTAGTCCTGCCAAACTAGCCCTTCCTTCCTGGCACAGCTAACCAAGGTGATGGACGCTCTGTTTTGAGCACATCTGCATTCTTTTATTCCTACCAGCTCCTGATCCCTGACATAGTCACCTTCCCTGCCCATTCCCCCCATTCTCCTGACCCCCAGCATAGTCACCTCCTCTGCTCAACCCCATTTGGCCTAATCAAATAGCCCAGTCCTAGCTATACAGAGACGAGTCCTTCCTAAATGGAGATCTGAATACCAGATAGACAATATGATCTTTTAGGAGATGCCGCAAGACCTATGTTCTGTTTGGGAGTTGGAAGAATATCTTTGAGAAAAGCAAAGATATTCTTCGGATGACGGGATCTCCATATCTCCTTACATTGAGCCAGACCTGTCCTCAAGTTCTGAAGTCCCTTAGAAAGTAGGAGACATGATCTGTCTCACTTAGTAAATAATGGCAGGTCTAAGGAAAACTTCAAAAGTTCTTCACTTGTTCTCAACTTAAATAAGAACATTAATCATCTTATTTGCACCTTTCAGAAAGGGATGGCTAGAGACAATTCTAGCGACACCTTCCTGCTAAAAAATGAAAAAAGGATTTCTAACCCTGATCCTAATTCTGTCAAAGCACACTTGAGATGCAAGTAACACATTCCTTCAATTTTAGACAGGAATTAAGCAAACTGCCCAGGGCCTTGCAGCATGGTAGTAGAGGCAGCAATGGGCACTGCTACAGCCTTGTCTGGCTTTCAACTTCCTAGATCATGTTCCTTTGACTCTGAGCATCAGCTGATGCTCAGAGCCCAGAGTACATATTGCCAAATTATTTTCTGAGAAAGCTCAAATACAAGGAAAGCTGGTATATATCTGTGCAACTATGTAAGTATGAGTTTGGTACCTGTAAGAGAGCATGGTGCATCGTCACCTCCAGTTCGGCTAAAACATGGGCAGCATCCTCACTGTCCTCTTGGACCTCCAGGTCCTCCTCAGGGATGGTGTCCCAGTTGCCCTGGTGAGCAACCAGCGTGTGCACTAGTTCATACTGGCCAGGGAGTGCCAGGCTGACCCGAGTCTGAGTCCCATAGGTGAAGCGGAGGCGCCGAAGCTTACAGTTCTCCTCACTGCCCAGCTTGGTGGTGGGAAGCACCTGCACCCCCAAGAGCAGGTTCAACAGCTGGCACTTGACACTACAGTCCTGGCCGAGGATCAAGATGCAGGGGAGGCAGTCCACAATCTGCTGGAGGTGCTTCTCTTCCTTAGGCGGGAAGGAAATGCAGCTCAGCTGGCCTGGTTGGGGAAGGGGAGGGTGGAGAAGGAGAAAGGAGTACAGAGAGAAGAGTGAGGAGGGGTAGGGAGAGACTTCCAGGGAGATCCCATTAGGATGTCAGGCTCCTAGAAAAGACATTTCTAGGAAGCTCTTGGCTGTAGGAGGTACCAGGAAAACATCCCAGTCAGAAAAGGTTCCTCAAATATCAAACAGGATTCCCCTCTCTGGCTCATTCCCAGAACAGTTGTTTCTATCCAGAAAGGTGGCAGTGACCTGATCTACCCTCCCCTCTCGTTTTTCAACCAGTGGAGGGACAGCCTAAGGAGTTTACAAGGACTCAAGTATAAGATCATTAAATTGACAAAGCCAGAAAAGACTACACTAACTGGGATGTGAATCCAAGAACCGAATATATCAAAATGAAAACCTTCCTTGTGACACAAGACCTAATACTTGAACATATAAAGGCCCTTTAAAATGACTCTACCACATGCAGTTTTAGCTTATTTTCCTCATTTATAACATATTTGATAACTAAATGTATCAGCCAGTCTTTAAATACACATGTATTGAAATAAAATGTTATTCAGGTGTGTATAAGCTCTAGAATCTTTTCTGGTTCATTTCACTGATGGCTGGTGACAGCATCCCAGCTGCCAAGTCATCTGTTTTCTTAAAACACTGGGTGCTCAATTAAGATCAATATCTCCTAATCAAATCATATTCTTTCAGTTTATGGAGGACGAGACCCTGAATAAGACAAAGGGAAAGAACTACCTGTTAGGATAAAGTCCAGGCAAATCTAGGAAGAGATGTGATCCATCTCAGAAATATCCTTTCAGGGCACCACACTCATCTAAACAGATCAAATAATACTCAAGGGAAAACAAGGGACTTCCCTGGTGGCACAGTGATTAAGAATCTGCCTGCCAATGCACGGGACACGGGTTCGAGCCCTGGTCTGGGAAGATCCCACATGCCTCAGAGCAACTAACCCCGTGCGCCACAACTACTGAGACTGTGCTCTAGAGCCCGCGAGCCACAACTACTGAGCCTGCGTGCCACAACTACTGAAGCCCGCGTGCGTAGAGCCCATGCTCCGCAACAAGAGAAGCCACCACAATGAGAAGCCCGTGCACCGCAATGAAGAGTAGCCCCCGCTAACTGCAGCTAGAGAAAGCCCACGTGCAGCAACGAAGACCCAATGCAGCCAAAAATAAATAAATGAAAATAAAAAATAAATTAATTTTTTTTAAAAAAGAGAGAAAACAAAAGTCTTCCTAAAGTATGAGAACATCTTTTTGGGAAAAAGAACCAGAAATTAGTTGACTAGAACTCTCATATTCTGAACTCGATCACTCCCCAGCTTGTTCAGTGCCAGTGCCTGCCCAAGTCTAAGATTCAGGCAACTTTGTGTTTGTCCAGAAAGGCACAGACACACGGTTCTTAGGCTGTTAGAAGTCCAGTCTCTGAGCCAAATACATACATCTTAATTGAAATTTAGGGTGGCTCCACGTGAAACAGTGTTTGCTTTAGTCACTTAACCATGAGCTATTCATTTTGTTTATGTAATTGAAGCAAGAGAGACCTGATTCATTTAAGAGGTTGTCCTACTTCAGACTCTACCTATCCTGCTTCAAACTCAGTATTTCAAATCCTCAAATCTTTTTCTCTCCCACAAGTGGCACCACCAAAAGATTTAAGGAAGTTGGCTTTCACCCAGCCCCCTTTATGAATTTCATTAAGCCCTTCCTTTCACATCGGCCTATAAGTACATCACCTGGCCAGCACATGTAAACCAGTAATACGAGACACTGAAACAGGAAATCTGTTCTCCTGGGACAGAGATGAGAAAGCAAAGTGTTAACTGAGTGCCCAATTCTGTGCAAGGTATTTACTAAGCTCGAGAGTAAAACACCAGACCACTGGTCTAATTTTTGACCCACTGATACAATCTAAAAACAAGGGGACACAGCCAATTGCTGTGCTACCACTTAGCAAGTAGTGAGTCCTGAGTCCCTTCATATCTTATTGACAACTAAACAACACTTACCACAGTTGTCAGGGAGGAAAAACAATTTTCCTCTACCCTTTTAGTTTCCTCTGGCTGGGTCTAAGAATTAAATTGACATGAGACAGATTACCAGGAGAAAATGAAATTTAATTAGGTACACATGGGGAATCCGAACATGCGATTCCAAAGACGGGTTAAATGAGATACATATGTCATCCTGGACTAAGGAGAGGGGGTAGGGGGCTCAGTCTTCAAAGGGAAACAAGGCAATCCACAGTAAGAATGAAGAGTAAATGTTTGGTAAAATGTTTGCTGGGTCATCCAGAAACAATGGGACATAGAGAGGACTTTGACCAAACAGGCCTTGCTAGGTTCCTCCCCTGACTACTACACCTGGTTCATATTACGCTGTAGCTAGCCCTGGTGATAGCTCTCTTTCTAGGATAGGCCCTCTATCTAAATTCTTTTAGGCAGTTAAGGCAGAGGAGATAAAAGCTCTTCCTGAGCCTTTTGTTTCTTTAAAACAACCAAGCCTAAAGTAATCCTCATACCACAGAGACACATTTTGAGATGGCAGATTTTGCTCCCCTATACAGACTATTCTAGTTGTATGTTTATAATTACCAAAAGCAGGAAGAACCATCATATTTCCCTCTGTATCCTCAACACCCAACACAATGACTAAAAAATAGTTAGTGCTTTGTTATAAGCTTTCTTGCTTTGTGTAAGAATCCATTTACCATGGAGAATTGTCTACAGAAAGCCAGAAGTGGTTCTACTAAGTACTCAGAAAAGTCCAGTAGCATGATGAACAGTCCGGTACCATGAATAGCATAGGAGCAACTGTCATTCCTAAAAACCTCCTTCATCTCAACATGGAGAGTAGAGGTGGACAACAGAATAGTACCTCCCCATTCACCTGCAGACCACAGTCTCAGCCTGAGCAATGAGAAGTCCAGTTAGATTCACTCTTATCTACCCTTCCTGTACTTTCTCTTTTCCCAGTCTTCCTCAGATCTCAGATGGGTGTCCAAACTCCTATAACAAAAGTTATAAAAATAAGTCTAAATAAAAACCATAATAAAAATAAGCTTAAATGAGTTTTGTGACTGGTGCTGCTGGGAGAGCAGGTAACAGAGAACAAAAACCAACTAACCATTTTTCAGGACCAGAGGGAGAGATCTTAACACCTCTGAGACCTCAGGGTCAACTACAGGAAAGCCAGTAAACCATGCTGCGTTGGCCAAAACCACAGCGGACATACCCCATTACTCATCCGGTCCAAACTATCACACCCCCATCTCTGTACTGACAAAAATAGTCACTATAAATAAACCCGCTAGAGTCTAACAACCATAGGCCAGTGCAATGGGAGAGGGGGCTGACAGCGAAACCGGTTCTAATTTTCGTTTCCACGCACTCTGCTAGCGTTCTGCGTGCAACCCACTGGACTGAGAAAAGGTCTTCAAAATGGATATCGCCATCTGTTTTTCGAAACGTCATTATCCAAGGCTTTTGCTTCTCCCACCAATCTTTAGCTTTTTCATTGCTCTTCAACGTGTCTACAAGATTTGAACAAGAGCATGGAGAGAAATGAAGCTGAAACGAGATCGTTTCACTCCTTGCTACTCTCGGCAAATGCGTTGGTGAGGGAGGAGCGCAGCGAGGGAGTGGGCAGAGCACCAGCCGAGGGCAGATGCTCTGATCCCGGGCTTCACCACTGACTGGCAATCTACTTGCTTCTCTCAGCCTTGGATTTCTCATCGGTGAACTAAGGGACTTGGATTAGATCATCTTTAACACCCCTTCCAGTTCTGAAATTCCAGGATTCCATCAGGTTTTAACTGTTGAAAGAAAAATAACTGAGGGGGATGGGCAGTTGGTCTGATTGTTTTTATTTTAAACTGTACGTGAATTTAATTACTCGAGCTCTCCCTGGACTACTATAAGGGCAGATCAAAAGCTGACTGAACTAGCCAGGGGCTCTGAGGACCTACCAGGCAGTTTTAGCCGTTTTCTTAAGAAGAGATTAAAAACTGTAGACTGAAGGTAGGAGGGAGGAAGAAAATCTGTTTCAGATTTGAGCAGCTGCCTCACTGACAGTTAAAGGACTTTCGAGTTAATCAGGTTTTCTTTTGTAATTAATATAACAGCATCTGCATATGGGGCTGCCGGAAGGTAACAGCACGGCCTCTCGGCTGGAGCGCTTTAACCCTGCCAACTCTGGCTGCAGGAAAATTCAGATCGTCTTCAATGCAAGCCAAGACTTCTTTTTTTCTTGATGATTCTTAAAAACAGATTATCTTGATTTGGGTTACTTCTAAACAAACGTTTCAAACTACAAGGAGGAGAGCAGCTAAAGCAGCAACGCATTTTGTTTATCTGTTTTAGATAATGAAGGGGAACGAAATATATCATCCCAAAATATGCCTCTTTGACATATTATTTTGAACAGGTTATTTTTACGAAACAGACACAGGTGAAGCTCTGGAAACTGAGAAGTTACCCTTTCGTAAGAGACATATTTAAAAGAGAAATCTCCATTTGTAAGGGGGTCTTCCTCCAGTACCAGGAAGAGGAGGGCTCAAAATCTCTAGAAACTCTTATCAATGCAGAAAGCAACCACTTAAAACTGCACAACCACCTTACCCTTCTTTACTGTGCTTTTCCTGATAAACGCCCATAAATGACTCCCCCCACCTCACCCCACCCCAGTAGTGTTTTATCTTTAGCTGGAAATCGTATTTAAGGTAGTGGCTCGGGCCATTTTGGAGTCACGCAGTTTTTCCAGGGTATCTCCCACGTGTACAGGAGGTACACATGTTATTAAATTTCTGGTTGTTTCTCTCCCATTAATCTTTTTATAACAGGGGTGTCTCGGCCAAGAACCTAGAAGGGTAAAGGGAAAATTATTTTTCCTCACCCACAATAATATTTACTGAGCCCTTTCTAAGTACATCACTTTATTTGCCCCATTTCATTTAATGCTCACAATTCTACCAGACA